GCAGAACTGGTAGGACATCCTAGTTAACCTGTGTTTCTCTCCCTCTTTCCCTGGGTTATCCCTTTACCTTTCTCCTTATAAATAAATCCATTATTTAACCTTTTGAAGTGTGTCCATAATACGATTGAATCGTAAGCGCACGGGTGAAGACCCACAGACAGGTAACCCAATTCACATTGGGGTGCCCTGTAACAGGTCCTGTCCGAGTGCTTGCCCCTGCCGCCCCGCGCTGCGTCTTCTGTGTGCTGCGTCCGTGCGCAGGGCTGGGTGGCTCTCGCGGCTTTGCCTTTGGGGCCGCCGGCTCCCCGACTCTAGCCCGCCTTTGCTGCCCTCACCCTACGCCTCCTCTCGCTGCTCTGGGTCCTGCACCCGCAGCCTGCTCCTGTCCACACCCACCCTGTACTCAGAGCTCTGCAGAATTCTGCTGGGTCTTCGTTTCGTTACAGGGCTCCCCAAATCTGTTCCCCAGGGAGAGGGGCACCCCTGAAGCCCCAAACCTGCCTGCTCTAAGTGGGTTCTGCCATCTGCCGCATCAAGACAAAACATATAAAACTTTCATGAAAAGGGACTTTAATACAGTGAATATACAATACGGAGCACAGAGATTATAACTTCTAAATCAAACACCTGAAGTGACCCGTCCCCTCGTGGGCAAAAGTCCACCCAAAAGGGATCGGCCCACAGCAAGGCCCGAAAGCGGCCACAAGACTGAAGCACCTTCTGGCCGGGACCCATGGAAAAGGGTCAGACATGGCCAGACAAGTCTGGGAGGAAAAGAGCAACATCAAAATCAAGATAAACACGGCCAGAGTCGCCTCCATGCGGGAGTCGCCTCCCTGCGGGTCTCTCACCCACATCTGCCTCAACCAGTCCAGGGTCAGGAAACAAGCCCGGCTTCTCCCTCACATGCTCGCTGCTCCGTGTGGCTCCCTCAGGCCTCCTCCTGGCTCTCCATCTGGCTTCCTTCTTTTCTTCTCTCTTGATTCCTTCTCTTCTCCCCTTTTTCTCTGCTCAGCTCCGCCCTCCTGGGTGGGGCAGGGAACCTGGAACTTCCCCTTTCCTAGGGACCCCCTGTTACAGTTTCAGTGTCTGAGCTCGAGCACGCGTGTTCCTCATTGCTCCCGAGCAGGCCTGCCCCGTCCTGTCCTTTCATGTGGGCCTTTCAAACACCCCATTGTGCTGCATTTCAGCACCTCACACACATCCCCATGGAGAGAGGCTTCAAGGCCATGACGCTGCCCTCTGGATCTTTCTCACCGAGCTCTTGTGGTCTGTAGAGGGGGAGGGGTTGCAGCCACTCCCCAGCCTTCCTTGCCATTAGCTGACAGATGGGATTAAGTTCTGGGTGATGGGATGTGTGTGCACAAGGTGGACGAGACAGCCAGGTGACATCCAGGTGACGCTCAGCAGCGGGACCTGAGCGACCTGTGTTCTCAGTGGACAGGGGACGGCCTGTATCCACAGAGCTGAGTTCCCAGGACCGAGATTGCAGCCCTTCTGTGTCAACATGGCTCCCCATTTATCTAGCAAGTTCTTATTCCGCAAGGTAGGAATGTAAACCAATAAATAGCTTCTCTGTTTGCTCCAGGAAGTTCATACAGAATAATTTCTCTTAACAAAAGGCAGCTCCTGTGGGCACACAGCCCCCCGTCTTGGAGGCTGGGTTGTGTTCACCTGGGCAAACAGCTCATTTATCAGCTGTTTACCCAAGAGGACTCAATCTGGAAACCGACTGCGAGCTGGGTCTGCCAGGCTGCAACTGCCTCCTGGTCGCGCTGGCCCCGTCCTGAGACCCCAGCCTGGACAGACGTGCCTTGAAGGTTTGAGCCGAGCCCCTCCAGGCCTGAGATACCCACTTCTCCCCCCCCGTGAGACCATGTAGCCTCTCGGGCTGTCTGGCTCCAGGTGCGTGCGGGCACACGCACACGGCCGGGCACACACGCACACACGCACACCCTCCCTGCTGCAGACGGGTCCTTAGCTGCGGCCCTGGCCCATGACGGCCCTCCTGCTGGTCTAGTGGGGACAGCAACTGGCAGTGACCCTGGAGGCTCCGACCAGCGCGGCAGGCAGCTCATTCACAAGTGAGGGGCATAAACGCTAATGGTCACCACATTTTACTTAGGGGTCTCACTGCAGCCAACCCTGGTCCCGACACACTTCCCCACTGCAGGCTCATGACGCTCTCTGCCCCACGGTGTGCGACACCGGTACCCGCTGCATCTGTGTGCTGCATGGAGTTTCTCCGGCTCTTGGACACCTGCCCGATAAAGTTGACTTTAAAACACTGTATCGTGGCGTGTGCTTCATAACTTCACATGGAGCAAAGTGCATTTCTCTCAGTTCGCTGGAGCCTGCTATGCCTTACTGGTCCTGCTTCAGACATTTTTGACAAGCTCTCCTGTCATTATGTCTTAACCTGTCATGGTTTTTTGGCAAAAAAACATTTTATTATGGAAATTTCAAACATATACACAAGTGGACATGAGACATATTGAACAGTTATCATCTCAAGAACCTTCTTACTTCAGTTAGGGTCTTACTCCCCCCTTTTCTATCTGGATGACGGTGAAACTCAGATATCACTTCACAGGGAATCCGGAAAATCCCCAATTTCACATGTCATCCCAGAAATGAACACTTCTTTAGAAAACGTTTCCTGTAATATCACCATCCGGTCTAAACCCTCAACCCTTCCTTGGTATCATTCTGTTCAAGCAGTGTTTAAAGGGTCTCGCCTGTACGGGCACTGGTTAACTTAATCCAGGGGGAAATGGAGTCCTGCACTGAACCGGCTGGTGTGTCCGTGAGGATTTGTTGATGGACGTGTAGTATCTGGAAAAACGCGTGCACTGGCCAGTGTGGCTCCGTGGACTAGCAAGTCTTTAACAACCTCCCGCGTGCCCTCCCCCCTCTTTCCTTTGGGATTCATCCGACACACACGTCCGTGTAGTTTCCCACACCCCGCGCACGTCCCCCTCCTCCGCTTCCCCTCAACTGGCCATGACGGGCTTCTCAGCAGGCCAGTTTGGGGCCAGCCGGTGGACCGCAGGGCTGACGCCTGCAGGAAGTGGCTGGTTCTTGCTTCTCTAGAGCAACTTCGGACCCGAGCCTCATGCAGGCGGACGCCCGACAAGCCGCGCGAGTGGCCAAGGTGGAAAATGCTGGTTGGAGGTGAAAATCAAGCGCCACCAGGCAATGGCTGACTTTCCTCTGCGGTCGGTAACCGGCCCTGAAGGAAATTCCAGAGCAGTCTCAAGCACGTCCCTGCCGTGGCCTCGTCAGATGCGCCTCCCGGTGACCAGGGCCGCGGGCCGGGCTGCGGGCGGGCTGGGGGTGCCCCTCCCCGGTCATTCGCCCTCGGGGGTACCCCAGATCTCTCGTGTATGACACTCGCGCTTCGATTTTGGAGCCGGGTCGCCGCGCACCGGGGCCCCCACCCCGCGGGCAGCCAAGGCGGCTGGGGTCACCCGCGGGCCGCGCGCCGGATGTGCCCGTTGTGGGCGTCACCGGCGATGCTCAGGAGTCCCCGGGTCAGGGCAGCGCCTGGGAAGCCGGTGGCTCCTGAGCTGTCAACAAAAAATGAGGAAGCGCGAGGCAGCGTGGGGCGCCGGCCCGACAGGGGTCAGGAGGCGAGCCCCAGGCTGGACCTGCAGCGCCGGCCGGACCGCCGGCCGCTTGCGACACCCCGAGACGC